TTAATTTAAATGTAATAAAATTAGTTTAAATTAAATTATTTTAAAACAGAATGTAGAAAAAATTTAATTTAAATATCTATTTTTTTATCTAAAAAAAGTTATTTTACAATTGCAGTAATGTTTTTTACAACAATCAATTACTGCTTGATGTTTTCTACATCTCAGAAGATTGTTTAAATTGTCTGAATGAAAAAAGTTTTGGCATAATGTAAATGGCTTAACCCGTAGGTGAAATGGCCATTTTGTTGTTGTTATTGTTCTTGACTTTTTTAAGATAGCAATTTAATGCTAGTGTTTATTTCTTCTTATTATTTGAAAATTACACCTATTCATTCACCAATCATGAAACTATATTCTTGATAAGTCTACGCTTAATCTATCCACTTATTTTTGATTTTATCCCACTTTATTTGAAACTTTTATTTCTTATTATTTCCTCTATTAATTTTTTGGAATATTTGACAATCTTTAGAGGTGAGGTAGATGGTACACATTAGTGTACCATGGTTGTTCTAATATTTCATTCAGAAATCAGACACAAAAGATTTGGTTTTTTAGTAAATGGATTTGGCTATCTACCGGAAAAAATATGTTATTGCAGCTTTGATATTAAATAAAAACAATGAAATATTGCCATTTACTAAAATTTGACAACATAACTTTGTTTCCTGTTGGAGTTAAATTAACATGCTTGATTGGGGACATTCTAAACGTTAAAAATGTTTTTAATTTAATTTTAAAAAATATTAGTTTTTTAAATAATAAAAATATTAAAAATATTTACAAAAGGTGTGTGAAATATTAAAAACAATAAGGCAAAAGAATCTTAATTTTACCCTAAAAAACTGTATGAGTTAACGAATAGTTCGATATAACCATAGTACAACTAAACAGATAATATGATAAAGTTCAACTAGTATTTAACAAAAAAACATGCTGTATTTAGTTTTCAAATAGAAAAAATAAATCATTTTTAATTTGAACTTATGCTGCATAGATTAAAATTAAAGTACAAATAAATTATGTGTGACACTTTATTACAAATATAACTTATTAAATTATTAATATGCAATCTTTATGTGTGACACTTTATTACAAATATTATGTGTGACACTTTATTACAAATATAACTTATTAATTTATTAATATGCAATCTTTACTGTTATTTTCTATAAAAACAACTTATAATTTTCTCTCTCGCAAGTTCATCAGACAAGCGCGATTTTTTACAGGGTGGCCACTGGTCATGGAAATCATGGAAATGTCATAGAATTTTATTTTGTCATGGTAAAAGTCATGGAATTCCTAAATTTTTATTGAAAGTCATGGAAAATTCGTGGGACTTTTTAAAGTTATCTTTATTTTTTACTACTTGTGATATTTTTAGGATGCAAAGAAAAGTACTAGTATGTCTAGTCTAAGTCCTTTTTGAAAAAGACATTTTTGCAGTAAAGTTATATATTATCAGAAAAGTAAAAGAAAGTTATCTTATTAGAGAATTGAATGAAAAAGAGATTTTTTTTAGACTTGATTTCAGAACTTTCTACCAATTAGTTTTTGGTTTTCATGTTTTATAATGACCAATTTGCAAATGCTTAAAGCATTGGTGAGTACTGAATATTTTACTAGTGATTTATCATGAAAGTTTTTAAAGAGTCATGGAAAAGTCATGGAAAAGTCATGAAATTTCGTTCTCAAATTTGAGTGGCCACCCTGTTTTACTCTCGTAACAAAATTAGCGAGCGCTATTTGTTGTGCCCGGAAAGCCATTTAAAGGTGTGTTTCACATGTTCAGAGTTTTCGCTTGCGCTTCATCAAAAGGCCTGTACTGATTGCCAATTAATGTAGAGACGATTATCTCTTTTTTCAACTATATACTTATAGCTGAAAAGAGAGATAAACTGATTACCATTGACAAGACTTGTCTATATCCATGATAATCAGTTCAGCATTACCATTTTTAATTAATTTTATTTTAATCACAACCAACTTAGACTCTAGTTCTTTTCTCTAGACTCTTTTTTGGCTAATAATTTTTTTTGCTTTAATTACATTTTACTGGGGTAAGTATTCTTCACTGACGTTAACTATAAATTCTATTCTAACTGTTAGCTTTTCTTTGTAAACTTCTTCTATTGACAGTTTTTCATTTATTTTGTTATTAACTTCTACAACTCTTTATTTACATTCTTCATTGACACAATTTAATATCACCATCATTATTTGTATTCATATAATTAATATGAATTTAAAGTATGCTAGGATCCAAATTTTCTTTAATAATTTTTTTATTATCCATATTGTCCTTTGAAACATAATTTATTAATAATACTTCACTATATTTCTTTTTTTCATTTTGCTTCCACTCTGACTCAGCTGTATTCAGCTGTACATTTCCTACTTTTAAAAAACATTACTGCAATTGTAAAATAACTTTTTTTAGATAAAAAAATAGATATTTAAGTTAAACTTTTTCTACATTCTGTTTTAAAATAATTTAATTTAAATTAATTTTATTACATTTAAATTAAACTAATAATTAATAAATAATAAATTTAAATTTATTTTACTAAACCATATTTCTTTTTCTTTGTTTATACTTTTTTCCTCCTCTTTTAGATTTAGATTTTGAATTTATGTTGTATTAAGATAATTAAGATAAGTTCCTTGATTTCTTTGTTTGAATTTTTATTTTCATTTACTTAATATTATTTCATTATTTTCTTTTTGATAATTATTATTTTCAATAGTGTGTTCAATAAGATTAACACGATCATTACAATACCAGTTTAACTTACAATTTTATTAGAAATAATTTTGAATTCATCATTAGAAACTGCAATCTTTATGGAACCACTTATTACATTTTTTGTTATCACAACAAATACAATCTTCCTCTTCATCCTTAATAATATTTTCACATAATTCACACATGCATTTTTTTTCATCTTCTAATATAGATTTTTTGTCCTCCATCTTGTTTTTGGTTCCACCTCCATTTTTTTTGGACCTACAAGTCCCACTAGTTTCATATTTATTATTTATTAATGTTTAATTGATTATATATCAACGTTTGTTAATTGTTTCAATAGTTGTTTAAAGTTCCAAGTTGCACTTTAATAAGAAAATTCAAATTATTGTTATTAAGTCAAATAATCTCCATTCACATTAAAAAGCATGTCTGGATTCCATCTTATATCTCAGCGGTCTATGAACATAAAATTGGAACGCTTCTTAACAAGACTTGTATATATATTTTTATACTATATTATAAATTTTTTGCTAGCCCTGGCTGTCAACCCTTGTTAAATCTTATAATTTTACTGGGGCTAGTTTGTCTCATATTTAGCTGGAGCTGGGCCCTGGTCACTTACTATGTGTATGTATGTATATGTTTATACATGTAAATGTATTGACCCTGTTCCAAACCTTTTTCAACGGCATTGAACCTATAAATTCTAATTTACTTCCAAACTACTCAGCATTATTTTCTGGATTATTTTGTCATAGAAAATAGTGTTTCTTTTTAAAAATCTTGTATATAATATTTAATTTAAACTTGTATATTCGAATCAGAAAAATTATAATCTCAACTTCTGAAAAATTCTAAAAAGAAATAGGCAAAATGAAGTTAACAGTACTTCTCTATGACAACAAGCTATTTATTTTTTGTAAATCATTTTTACAATAGTTTTGATAATAATAATAATAATAACAGTAATAATAATAATAATAATAATAATAATAATAATAATATATTTTAATAATATAAGATAGAAAAATAAAATAATACAAATTATAGTAATAGTAATAATAAGTATGTTTACAATAATTACAATGAAAAAATAATAATAATAACTAATATTATACTGGTAGTTATGAGCATAACATTATTTATAATGATTTATTTAGGATGGTGTTACTCATACAAAAATCTGATCAAAGGAGTGACACCAATTTTTAAACATAATATAAGTAATAATAAGCAAAGACATACATTGAAACATATGGACTGTAAACACATAGATTAAAGCACACAGAACATACATTAAAACAAACATGTAGAAATCATAATTTGCAGTTTTTAATAATAATAAAAAATAAAAAATAAAAAAAAAGTACTGATGATAATTGTAGTAATGATGGAAAAAAAATTAAAAGTTAAGAAAAAATTTAATTGTTAAAGTTGGAATAAAAAGTTTTTCAGAATTTTTTTAAATTGATATTGTTTAAGATGGAATAAAGGTATTTTAGGATATAGTTTTTTGAACTCGTTCAAAATGCATGCAAGACGCCTGTTCCATTCACAGACGCGCTGATAAACAATAGAATTTTTACCATATTTTTGGGTTTTAAAAGATGGTACATTTAGTTTTCCATTTTGTATATTTTTAGTAAAGTAGAAATGTAATAGTCT